ATCATTCTCCAATTCGACCACTTTATATGCCAAAAATAGGTCTCAATATAACGGACTATGTAACGGAATTTCTTGTTTCAAACAGGCAGCTGCACCTTCTTTCAGTGTTTTTATCATAACTTTGTATTCTGATATCCTATTGAGGCGATACAAAATGCGTTGGAAAGCTAACTCATCTGGCTACAACTTTAATTCAGACATCATTCTCCAATTCGATCACTTCCTATGTCAAAAATATGTCTCAATATGAGACTAAAATACCGAAGCATAATTTTTCGGTTGGAAATTGATTTGTGATCATCTTTTGACTAAATTGGATCCCCTTGATATCTTCCTTTATCCAATTGACTCCGAGCACTCTCAAATTTTCATCGTGAGATTCGGTACAACTTTTAAGTATTTACATTTTAACCCCCGAACTCGGATCCCTTACAATTTAGCAATTTCTCCAAATTTGTCTACTTTTGCTTATTTTCTTCAATCTCACCAACCTATATCGCAATATCAAAATTATACATCTAATTATTTATCAATTACATAAATATTACATCGTTAATTATTTATAGGGTGTCTGTTTCTGCTTTTCAACAGAAATCAAGCCGTTGGCAATACAATTCATGCCGTTGGGAGCCGCAATTTTGGACCAATTCTCTCACTGTAGGGCTGTAGGTTTGAAAAAAAAATGGTAACATAATCAATTTTCCTTCCTCATTGCAACGCGCCCAGACACGCCATTAATTAACCAAAAAAATTACATCTTTATTAATAACAAATTAATTATTAAACAAAAATATTAATATAAACTAAGCAAACGGGCATTGCAAGTTGCTTGCACCTAGTAGTTGAATAAAGGAGGATAAGCACCCTAGATTAATTTAATTCGGATACTAATGTACCATTTTCAGTTTCTTGAATCGCCTTCATTAACAAATAACAAGCGACAACATCATAATTCCATCAGATCGGGCAACTTTAGCTCGATGAAATTGCTCGTGAATGACACTTTAGGAGCACGAATGCATGACAAGGAAATCAAAGAACTGGACAAAATCAGGTAGTACATGCTGATTCTTGTAATGTTAGTGTTAAATGATATTGTCTGATGATGTAAGTCAGTACTCAAATTCTCAACTACTTGCAAAGCATACAACAACATAGGGGAGAATCTGTCATCTTTCTTCGAATTCGTATGATTTTCAAATCCTAAAAATCCAACTTTTCGTACCTCTATAAATGCTGTAAATGTAAAAAATTCACATGTTACAGCATCATTGAATACTAAGATTGAGCTTATTTAACAATGACACATTGTTGAAACTATGTAAAACGCCAACATGTTATCGTACATTTTTTCTTATGATTTCACTAAATTTTGATAATAATAATAATAATAATAATAATAATAATAATAATAATAATAATAAAGTCGAATAGTTTTCTTTTTGTACACCACATTGTGTAGATATAAGTAATAGTTGATAGTTTCAAATAGTCCCTTCATTACCTGCTAAAAGCATGTACTTCTCTTTCCTTGTAAGGTTTGTGCATTCAAATCCCAAGGCTTTTGCTATCTCATTCTGCACATAATTGGCCACTTCAAACTTCGATAATTCACCACTGGTACACGCGTGGGATTTTGGTAACTTCTCGAGAAAATTGACAGTGTAAATCGTACGAGGATTCAAGAGAAAGAATAGAGGATCTAAAGTTTTGTATCCACTTGCAGTTGTTCCATAAAACATGCCCACTTTTGAGTCGAGGGCAACTGGAACTATATCGTCGCTCAATTCAGCGAACAAAGGGCTAAACCTCAGCAAATATGGCTCCCTGCAAGTGGTTCCCTCTGGGCAAACTACAATATTCCCATGGGAAAGAATTTCCTCCATCATCTTTAAGTCCTTTTCCCGATCTCTAGTTAGTCGAATGCTTTTTAACGGTGAGAGAAGCTCCGATATTCTGCTTATACTGTACGTAACAGCAATGACTGGTTTCATGAGTGCCAATGAAATGTAGATTGGATCTAGAAGCGTTCTGTGATTCGATACATAAACTACACCTCGGGTTTTTGCCTCCCAGATCGTGGGATCTATGGAACGTCGTCAAGATATTGAACCTACCATCCCAGTAAAGGCCAAGATTGGGATGGCTACTTTGTAAGGTAGAAATGAGGCGACAAACAGCCTAATGATGCTAAGGAGAAAACCAAATGGTAACCATACGAACATAGACAATGTAGCAGAATACGTCGGCCTAAAGGCCAATCTTCCATCGTGGAAAATTAATGGCTTCGGATAATTTTCCCGTGGAAGTATTCGCCAGCTCGTCTTCTCTGCTGAATTTACCAAATAGACCTCCTGTCACAATGGAAAACACAAGATCATTCATTAAAATTTCAGAATCATGATCGAACAAAACATTTTGACATAAGATCCTAGTACTACCAACCTTGCAATGAGAAAAGGTTTGCTGATTGAGAGACTTGTTAGCAGAACCAAAACCAATTAGAAGAGGATTCACATTTTCCTGTCCAATTATCTCATTCATAACAATATTTATGTCTCTCTTTACCTCCATTAAGCCCACAAAATACCCGAAAACCACCTTCATATCTCTTCCAACAACAGCATTTACATCAAAACAATCCCTTAAAAATCCTTCAACCATCACATTAGGCATATCACTCACTGCTACCTTTTTCTTGTACTTCATCACAACTTGGAAGCCTTCATAACCAACATCTTCAAGAAAGAACTTAGGCAGAACAGATTTTCCGAGCCGATAATTTGCTTTCTTTATCCCACAGAAACATATCAAAACCATAATCTTGATCCCAATTTCCTTGCTAAATAGACAAACAAATGGATAGGAAAGAAAAAGAGCTAGAGCTCGTATGAGGCTTCCTGCTTCAAACGCCACCAGCATGAAGTAAGGAAATAGAGACGACGACATTAACAGTGCTTCCTCCATATGAAAGATCAGAGTTGCATCCAAAGGCTCATCTTGTTTATGGGAAAAACAAGAATACTTTTGAAATTTTGATTCGGATTCTTGGGGACAAGTGACTCTTCGCTGGAGAAAATGTGCATGACAAAGGCTTTTGAGGAGGAATCTAAGCCAAAACAAAGGAGCTTTTATTTTGAAAATATTGACAGGCATAATTTCTTGACTAATTAGCAGGAGTTGGGAGAATTTTTTGAGATGAACTTAGAGGACTGTCCTTTGTTGAAGTTTCTAATCCGCATCATAATCTGAAATACATTGGGATTGTGTTTGATTTCAAATTCGTCAGCTTTCTTATGACAGGATTTACGTCATATAATTTGACAAATACTGTCAGTGTACCTCAACCCTCGTATAATTTGACATATAATTTTACTCTAGCTTGGGCACAGACTATGAAACGTTTAAGTGGAATTTCAGTAGGAAGCTTGAAAATACTATGATTCAAGATGCTACAATGTTATCCTAACTTTATACCTAACGACGTAAACACCCTCCAAAAATCCGTTAAGTTGCCATTCGCCACCCCACGCGATGATATAAGTAAGGGTATTAAATGTCCAGTACTTTTTTTTTTAAGATAAGCCAAAAAGTAAATATATATAGAGATAAGAAAAACACTTCTGTCCAAACTAATGGACACTGCTTTCAGTAGCTAGCTTGTCAGGTTATGGGCAAACAGGAAGATAAGATAAAAGAAAAGATAACAAAATAGAACAACAACAATATATGCTCAAATTTCTGGCCATTAGAGATGGCCACAAACCAGGTGACATTTTAGCTAGGCAAAAGATGGTCCAATGTTCTAATCTCAAGATGAAAATCATTTGATAGATTCACTCTAATGCAGAGGAAAGAAATGGAATGAGGCTCGAATGCTTGATGCTCGTGTTGTAACATCGACCCACAATAATAACAAACTAGATCGTATTGTCAATATTAAAAAGTTAACGCAATTTCTCCGGGGAGAAAATCCCATCATTACAGCTTCTTGCCTTTGGTGATCCTGACAGCATTAGTTTAGAAAGTCTAGGTTTTGCTTGAAGAACTTGTCTAAAGAATGGAGATTAAGGTACGGACGAGAACTGTACATCCAACAGTCTATAAACAAGATTAGATCATTTAATCGATTACCAGTGAATGTTTGGTTTCAAGCTCACTGTTAACAGTTAGCACTGTTAAGTACAGTAGTGCAAGGAACTCCTATTATACAAATTGTAATTAAATGCTAACTGGACATAGACGTGCATCAAATGTTAAGACTCTCTTGTGATGTCTATTTGATTATGATGTTATGATGTCGGGCAGAATATTGATTATTCTGCAGGCTGGAACCAATTGACAAATAAAGAGAAGAACGTAAAAGAAATACCATGAGAAACGAGAAAATTATTTATTATTCAACAACTGAACGAAAATAACTCACAAACCGAGTTAAATAACTAGAAAATATTAATTATCGAAATTTTGCCAAAAATAGCAAAATTCTATTATTCATACCAAAACGAAATACGTAATGAAAGGAGTAAGATCCCAAAAATCTGGCTAAATTTGAGATCGTAATCTATGTCAAAAAGGAAATCGAAATATTACTAAAAATCGCAAAAAATCACTAAAATTCCGCCAACTCATGGTATCTCAGCGTCATTAACGAACTATCAGACAGTTCGGCCTCGTCTGACTCGGATCCCCCTACATCACGTTAATAGGTGAATTATGGTTCGATTTAAGTGTTGGATAACATGATCGACATTAATTAGTCTTCAAGGCACTATAATTATTGTGCTTCCCTAAAAATAATAACCGTCCTAACCAATAATGTTAAGTTGTGAAACATAATTACGTTGTACAAAGTCCGTATTGGTTAAAGAAAAAAAAAGTGGAGGAAGTTTTTATTATTATTATTATTATTATTATTTGGTTAAAGAAATTATGACTCAATCACATCTCACCATATCATGTGTATGCAAGTCATTATATAAGTCATTATATACATACAATACGATTTTTTTTTTTTTATTGTAAACTACTTTTCATCACGGTGAATTATTGCAACGTTGGAAGAGGACGTAGTCTTACATTAATGCGGACCTCTGTAAATTTCACTTATTCTTATATTTCTATTTTTTCTGCGATTTTATGGTATAATTAGAGTTTTTATTTCTCCGCAAATTGGGTGCCAACGAAAAATCTAGCGATGGAGAATAGAATGTAAAGATTATTCAAATACGAACTTCTCAAGATTTTTCAACCGTTCCACTAGACATTTGATTTGACTTGGATTGAAGATCAATAATGACGAATTAATTCTCTTACCAATTATTGACAATAATTAAGTGATCGCAATGGCTACGACTCCAATAAGTTTGGCTATCTTCGGTAAAATCAATTAAATAGGGAGTAGATGGATGTCAAGATTAAATGCCATTTACACCACCCCAATGCCCATTGCCATGCTACGTCCTGTTGCTTTCCTCGTTCAATTCCTAGAAACCAATTGTTGTTGTTGTTGTTATTATGTTTTTTTCTTTTTTTTATGTTTTATTTTCTTGAGTCCGTTGGGGATGGCTTTAAAAATAAGAATAAACTATGAAGATTTCTATCTAACCTATAATAAAAAGGGTAATGCATTGCCACTGTTCATCCCGCCTCATGTCGACATCTCCCTGCATTGTTCTCCATTTTTTTAATATATATTTGTCTAATAATGACGCCATTTTGCTCGTGTTAAAACTGATGTTGTTTTGAATCAGAACGATGCCATCTCGTGACTACCAAGACTGCATTGCATTGCTTAGGGTTTATTGAAAATAAAAATCGAATCAACAAATTCCTCTCATCTAACCAAAATTTTCGCATTCTGAACTCACTAGTTTTGATACTCAAACTAGAGCAAGAGCAGAAATGGCTTTTGGGAAGGGAAATAATTGAATTTGCATGCTTCTATTCTCTTAGACGGGAGTATTTATAGATTTCATTTGGAGAGATAAATGACAAATAGCAGCTCCTTATTAGGTAACTTACAACTAATTTTGTTAGAGTATCACATTTTATCTATTAGCTTTGGGATCATTCTTTAAACATTTGACCACGTGTACCTCTATAACAATTTTCAACCTGGATGTGGGAATAACTCGCTTATGATATGTGAGCCCTTCGTATTCTTCCCCTTTCGCCTTATGGCTTGCTAGGTATGAGCTCACGGAATTGATTTTTTGATTCAACAAATAGTCCCCGAAATCGAATTTCATTTTCATATTAAATCTATGACTTATTAGAAATTTATTAATATGCGAGCTCATCATTGTTTGCGTATATTTTATTTTTGTTTGTTGTGGCTAACGTAGGTTGTATTCAAGGGACATGCTATGATTGTAGAATCAATAGGGCTTTTTGCGCATTTCAAGTTTACTAGCATGTACACATTTAATGGGCATGTCAATTTTGCGCAGTCGTATTCGTTCCTTTTTGAATTCTTAGCCAAGCGCCCTTTAGTATTAGATTGCCACCATTGCTTGGGTACTTTGGATGGTTAGGATTTGTTTAAGAACTTAATCAGCAGCTTACGTTCCCTTTTAGAACTTGTAAATATGTTCTTCCCTTTTTGTGGTTTTCTAGCTTCTTTTTCAATACTTCTTTACTTATTTATACCGAACGCTCTTTCTTTAGCGATTCTATCTTTCGTTTTGAAAAAATGTGCACCAAACAGCGGCCTAGTTATACGTTTTAAAACTCTTGTGCGTTTAAATTGCTTATTTTTGTTGTTAATAAGAAACACTCAAACCCAAAACTAACTTATTTAATCTTTATGATCTTGTTAGGGTTAATTTTAATTAAGAATAATATTATCTAACACTAGTTGTTTTATAGCACCAACTTAGGTAGTGCTATGTGACATGCTTAATGAGAGGTGAAATTAAATAGCTCGTTTAATTGTACTTACCAATGTCACATTAATGCCCCAATGGTGTAATTGATAAATATTTTTTTTAGAATATGTGTTTATCATTATATCGTTTGTTTATCACATACTCATTTCGACCGGGATTAAGGGTCTCTTGAAGTCGTTTTATGAAGAATTTGTAAACACAAGTTATTTATTTTGGTGATGCAAGTATTAGAGAGACTAAAATTTTAAATTGAGAAGTGTTTAAATTAGGGGTGGACAAAATGATTAAACAAAATCAGACCAAACTATAACCAAACCAAATGGAGCAGTTTGGTTCGTTTCTACAAAAAATAATAATAAAAATTTTTAATGGTTCTGATTCTTAGAACTGAAAATCATTTGGTTCTGATTTTGGTTCGACTCAATTTTAGAACCAAGCCAAATTCAATATTTAAATTTTATATATATATATAATGATGGTTCTGATTCTTATATGTATAATAAAAAAATTTAATGGCTCTGATATATATATACACACACAAATTAGTGAATCGCAATTCACACCAAAAAAATTCAAAATTAGGACAAAAATGCAGTGTACCTTCAATTTCTCAATGTAGAAACTAGATACCCAAATTCATTTTGGACACAGACCTTATTTCGTTTCTCATTCTCTCCGTTTTAATTTATACATCGACTCTCAAATGGAGATCAACAACTACAACCTACCTGCGCGCTCAGCTACCATCGTCGCATGAATTTCTGAAATTGAAGCATCAACATTTGATTCTTTTTCCTCAAATGTTATTTTTTTTTTTCCCTCAATCAGTAATGAATTTAGAACCAAACCAAAACCAATGGTTCGATTCCGATTTGGTTCCATATCTTTTAAATAATCATTTGATTCCATTATTAAAAAAAAAAAAGAAAAAAAAAAAA